ACTGCTACTGCTATTGCTACTACCGCCGCCACCGCCACAACCACAACCACCACCACCACCACCACCATTATACTAGCCCGCCGAGTCCGACGACAACGCCAGTTTTTCTTCGTCTTCTAGCGTTGCGCAGGATCTTCGGCTACTGGGAGCTCGGCACAGCTGCCGGCCTTGTGAGCGGTCCTGCTTTGGCTTCCTTTCTCGCAACAGGTGCCCTTGTGCATGAAGTTGGGCGACAATACCATCAGTCTAGACGCCAATTAATTAGTCGCGTAGACAAAGATGTTTATCCGCATGTTCCGTTCCTGACAAGAGCTCGGGGCTGGAGGGACATTCAAATCTTTGCACGAAAGATGTGGCTGCCACGCAAGGTCCGTGGGCGCAGATTCTGCCGGGGCCAGGCGAGTAGCCTAGCTGCATTTGGCGCTTGACCGACTGCCAACATGGAAAGAGTTGCCCCATGTTGTTCCTGATTCAGGGCGATGGCCGTTTGCATTGCCATGCTCGCATGCTGTGCCGTGGTGGCAAAGGGTTGGCTTGCTCAAGACTCTATCGTGATAATGCTGACATTTCAGATCCGGCAATTGCGCTCTGCCAGAAAGCTCTACGTCGAACAAAGACCACAGCATGCTTATAGGATTGGGGTTTGGTCACCTGCTCGCCTCAGGTTTGATGGTCGCCATCTTCCTCTTCTTCCCCAGCACATCGGACTTGTGCGAGGATGGTGCTGTAGGCGGGGGCAACCAGGGCAGCTGCTTTCTTGCAATTGAGGGGGGCCCGAAGCCTCTGCACAGAGTCATGATGCACAGCCTTGGGCACTCAGTGTATGAGAAGCCTGTGTGGAGCAGCCGATGGGTAAGCTGTCAAGATGCTCAGCGCAAGCGACCAAGCCCTCCAAACAACAGCGATTAATCCGAACAGTCGTGATCAGCAAGTCGCCGACGCCGAGACTAGATTGACCAAAAAAACCGGAAGTGTCGGCAGTGGGTGCTTGGGCAACGTGCAGCACCACAAAACTTGACGGGCAACTTCGCTTCAAATGTTCTCCATCGATGCAGATAATTATAGACTCTCTCCAGGGCGACTCGACTATTTTCGCAGCATTGGACCGTTGCACTTCCCACGGGCAGGTGCACGACCACTTTCCGGGGCGGTCCGCACCCTGGGCGTGAGCAGTGCGTGGGTTTCCCCTGTTTTACATGCAAGCGGCAAACACATCTCCTCGAACATGCTTCGCAGAAGGCTTCGGTTGCTGCTCTTCCCATGCAAGCAGAGGCCCTAACGGACAGAGCATGGACGGTGCAGCTGACACTGTCCGGCAGCACGGACCTCAGTGACGGCAAAGGCTGTCAGGGCTCCCTTGCAACCTGACCGCCATTGACCGCCCATACAGTAGCCAAGAGTTGTGGAAGTCTCCGCTGCTGTCATCGCAGAGCCACTGTGCAATTTGCGTCTTGCACCTGTCAATCCCCTCTAATCTCGACGTAACAGAACTCCAGCCTTACGAGAGCCGGCAGCTGGCAGCTGGAGGGCGCATAAATCTGCCAAGCTGCTGCAGGCACGATCGTGCGGCTGCTGCTTCGGCTCGCGTGGGAAGCGGCCATTCTTCTACACTCAGGGTTAAGAGTGCTCGCACACTGTAAGATGGAGCTGCGAGCCGTTGTTGAACTGAGGCCGCGGCGCTGCCGGGCTGCAGTGTGTGAAGCGAGAGAGGGAGGGACAGAAAGTTGAGGGACACGTCGAGCTGTCCCTACGAACCCCTTCCAGTTCTTCGCACAAGGATTGTTTTGGCAACGCACTTCTGCCTCGGGCATAAGATGTCCGGCTACGGCTGCTCGGCCTGAATTTCGGGGAAGCAGGTCTGCGGGCAAGTGCGAACCAAGCAAAGCTAGGCCCCTCGGGACACGCCAGGCATTACTGTCACCTTTGCCCTTTATATGGCGGCACAAAGCATCTTCGTGGCCTGTCAGCATCGAAGCTTGGTGAGTCTGTTCAGCCTGCAGCCCTCAATCACTGAGTGGACAGTGGGATCGTGGTGTCATGGTTTTCTTGACTTGCGATGTCCTTGGTATGTCTTTCCATGTTCATGGGCTTGATGTTACGATTGCGTCATCCGCTCCTCATCTTGCCCATCCCATTGTGACTTTCGAGTTCACGACAGTTCCAGAAATCGCGTGAGCTTGAACCTGCCAGCCAAGGTCATGTACTGCGAGAATTTTAGCGATCACACTTTGATCCGTTCCTGCGAGTTTCTCGAGATGATTGGGCTAGTGGCTGGGAGGCAAGCACTGCTCCCCATCGGTTTAATCAGCCCAGCACTTCCCGAAGTCTTGTTTCTGGTTGCGAGCAAGAAAACAATTCAGAAGTACATGACAGAAACCTGCACCTGTTGCCAGATTGCTTGTGAACACTATAGGTCCTGATGTTCCGAGTGCCCTCGGACGTGGAGACCACGCTGATGGAGGACGTAATGGGAGCCAGTGCTTTCATCCGAATCTTGGGAGCAAAAAGACATACCATTCAGCGGCAGTTGCAGGGAGGTCGTCCTCATCCCTGCGAGTCTTGCTGCAAGGTCTGGCGCAGTTTCTGCGCCTCGGTCTCTTTGGCTCAGCCAAGCTTCAGGGCCCGAACTGCGGGAGTTCCCGCAAAACCTTCAGGATCTAGGACTCATTCAACAGTTTTTTACCGTGCTGCTTTGGAAGTCAAAAAAATACGAGGCCAGCCTGAAAGTGTGTTGAGGTTCGGCTCCGCACTTTTCTACACTGGCACCTTGGAGTTGGGATGGAAAGCTTGATGACTTAAGGAGCCTCAGGCTGTTGGGAGGTTTGGGTAGGCAGTTCGCGACAACTGCGCTGCGAAATCTGAGGTAACTGCCTGACTTCCGCGCCTTTGAGCTCATGGGCCACGAAGTTTGGCCCCGGGAGATCTGTCGAAAGTACTTCCTTAGTGTCGGTCCAAAACTCTGGCACGTCAACATCCTATGCTTCCCTATGCATGATGTCCGAAGTGGAAGTGCAGGAGCGAATCGGTGATGTTCTTTGCACACCTGGCCATCCAGTGCCTCAGTCCGATTCGGAAAAGAACTAGGCAAACGGCAAGTAGCAAGTTGTTCCGGGCTTGCTCACCCTGCATTTTTGAAGCCTCAAGGCAGCTACTGCTTTCGCAAACTGAAGGTGTGGCGTGTTCGCCGGCGGCTTGCTCTCGCGAGTCTTTACGAGTGCGAAACTCAACGCCGCAGTCTCGCAGTAGGTTGGGGTCTACCCTCTTCGAGCCTGGGTCTGTGCTGTCTTTTTGTACACACGACTCCGCAGGCACCGCTCATGCTCAGCTCACGTTCTGATTGTTTCCATGCACAGTTGCCAGCAGAATAGCTTGAGGCATGGACCCTCATCAGAACATGATCGTCGTGGCTTGGCATTCGCAGCTGTCGTCTTGGTGAGCTTATGCCACAGTGGAGTGTTCTGTTTCTTGATGTGGGAGTCTTTGCTAAGTCACAACAGGAGGACATGTGTTTGAGCCTGCCAAGGCGATGCTGCTACCCGCACCATAGTCGCACTGGCTGGTATGTCAATGTCCGTTAGGCGGTACTGTACTCTGTGCAGGGGCAGCCGCACTGAATCCATAAGCATTGGTCAGAGCGCAAGTGCATGGAATCATGCGTTGGTTTGGGCCAGCGGCGGTGTTAGCCATGAAGCTTGTAGACAACTTCTTCGCCATGCACGCGCTGCTGTGCATACTGCTGGGGACCACTGCCTCGACGAACAAGGGTGCTGCGATTCCAAGCTACCAAGACCAGTGCTCGGAAGACTCTGCTGGCAAGATAAGAAGGTCTTCTGCACCAGTCATTCTGGACCACGATGGCAACTACGACGACATTCTCGTCCTTTTGGTGCTGCTGAATTTTCGCCCGACAGTGGACTTGAAGGCAGTGCTGGTCACTCCTGCCGACTGCGAGCTGGAACCTGCTGTCGACGTCTCCTCCACTGTGCTTTCCATGTTTGGTCATGATGCGCCCGTGTTGCCAGGGCACTTTCCTGCACGCTTCAACGAATTTCCCCGTGTTTGGCGAGAGCTGGCCTCCGAAATGCAGCAAGCAAGTGATCTATTTGCATGCCTCTGCCTCTGCTTCAAGGCCGAAGCCTGCGGTCACTGCACGCGAATGGCTTGCAGACTATTTGCTTAAGGCGGAAAACAAGACTGATTTCATTATCACAGGGCCTGCGACGAATTTGGCAGCGACGCTGAAGCAGCACCCCGAGCTGATAAGAAAGGTGGGCACTGTGCTCTGGATGGGGGGAGCCGTGGATGTGAATGGAAATGTCCGCGACGATGATGACCAGCGACCGCAGGAAAGCGACGGCACCGCCGAGTGGAATGCTTTTTGGGATCCTGAAGCTACCACAGATCTCCTAAAGTTGGGCCTTGACCTAAGGCTGGTCCCTCTCGATGCCACTGACGATGTCCCCGTCACCAAGGACTTCATCCAGCGATTGGACCCGACACTCGAAGTGGCCCGTACTGCACGCCAGATCTGGGCACGGTCAAAGTTTCAGAAGAGCAATGCCGTGTACTACATGTGGGACACGCTGACGGTGCCTTCCCGGCACCCGGAAGGGTTTTCGATCTTCCGAAGTGATCAAGACGGGAAGGAGGGAGGGACGAACGGAGAACAGGAAGAATTGCGGTCCTTGTGGTTTGCATGCTTAGACTGCAAGACCCCGCATCAGCAGGGAGTAGACACGGGTATCAGCGAGAGGTGAGGTGCAGGGTTTGCGGGTGCAGAAGGAACGCAGAGCCCGTTCGGACTTGGCTCCAAGTCAAGTTTATCTTGACAAACACATCCCTCACCTTAGAAACTACACACTCAATGACAGGGAAAGTCGTTATGAGGAGAGAGACCGTCTTTAAGACCCGAAGGAAGCACCAACAAGAAGCAGACAAATGCAATCGCTATTATTGCAGTTTAAGCTGTATTCGGGTCCCAGTGTCTGGTCACCCGAAAGACCTAAACTTACACTCATTCAGGCTGGTTGCTTCCTTAGCGAATTTGCGGTGTTAAGCGTTGATGTTGTCGAGAGCCCCCTTATGTTTCTCCTTTCTCTGTCATGTCCCCACCCTTTGGAGGGCTTGACTCTTAAGAGGTAGAGAGATGGACCTTTTGCCCCCCCCAAAGAGACTTCCTAGGTGCGGCTCACTCTCAACCTCTCATTAAAAAAGAGAGACTCTTTTTGTAGCTGCCCCTCAAGGGCCTTGAAGGTCGGCTTGTACCTTCGACCCGACCTATGCTCCTGGGAGGCCATGCCACGCGGGTGTTTGAGAGGGTGTGTTCTGGATTCGTGGGCTGGGCTCCCAGAAAAGGTGCTGCAGTCCATGCACGGCTTTGGGCTTGCAATGGTCTTACTTGGGCTGTGGATCGCTGCTGCTACTGCTACTGTTGGTCTCGGGTTGTTGCAAGTAGCTCCTGGCTCTTGTTTCTGTCCTGCTTGAGTCGCTGCAAACCAGATGCAAAAAGCTCCTGGCTCTTCCAGTGACACTGGCATGCACTGTCTCGCCTGCCCATGGCACGCCCGACCCATGCTTTGGCGTCAACTTTGGGGCTTGCCGAGTTACCGCTAGTGTGGCGGTACTTTGAGAAGTCTTCCTTGGTACAGGTTTCCCCCGCCGTCTTTGTTGATTCACTGCCAATGTATAAGGCCACGCAGTCATGGGACGTATGGTTTGATCGGAAGGAGCTTCGCCTGCGGGGCTGGGCTGAAGGTCATGCTCAGGGCCGCACAGAACGGGCCCAGGCCCGACAGAAGCACCGAGGGCCGAGGGCTTTGCATAAAGTGGGTTGTACCGTAGTAGGGAAGGCTGCTTCCTTTTACTTCGGGATGGCAGCAAGATCTGTGGCGATCCTGCGATCTCTGATTCAACACCGGTTCAGCCTTCTGCATTTTCCACGAGTGTCGTCTTGTGTTTATTTTGTATTATATGCCTCCTTCCGATTGCCAGGATGGTGGTGATTATGACCATGATGGTGATGGTGATGATGATGATGATGATGGTGATGACGAAGGTGGCAGTAAAGTTTACAGATTGGAGTTGTGTTGATCCTGATGACGACGATGACTATTGAGTGTTACCGGTATTGCTGCCTGAAACTATGGACTCAAGCTCACACTTGACTTGGTTCTAGGATTTGGGCACTACGCGAGCAGACGTTCAGACCAAGTATTGTTTAAGCGGTTGCCCAGCTGTGCACTTTATGCAGGCCTTGTAGCCGTTGCATCAAGCATACGTGCGAAAGAAACTTGTTGCTATTAGTGCTTGCGGAATTTGTGGGGCGACACCTCCTGTCCTTGATGGCCCTTGCGTCTTGGCAGGATGCTCCAATCGCTCTCATGGCGAAGAACACCAACGTTTCCGCGTTCACCGACTTTCTGCTGGATGTGTTAAACAACAGGAAAGGCTGAAGGCCCTTCCTGTTCGCGCTTGTGCCATAGGGCAGCGCCAAACTGGCATGCAAGGCTTCTAGAATAAGCCTTGTTTGACCTCGGGCCGAGTGGTTGGACTCGAGGTCAGCTGTTTTCCCTGCTAGTGGAACGCACTCAAGCACGAAGCAATCCGTGCCGGATTGTGCATGGGCAAAGTACCCTCGGCGACATTTTGACAAGCACACTTGCCTACGTCCTGCAAGCTTGTCCGTTGCTGAGCGACCCATCTTTCAGGGGAGCTGATGCGAAGCACTCTGGCAGGAAGAAAAGTTCAGAGAGGATGCGTCTGAGCAAGGATGGTTGATCGGAGGGCAAAACGTCGAGGGGACATGAAGGGACCACAACATGTTGGCTTTGCACTATCTCGCGCTGAGGTAGTCTGCCTGCAGATCATGCTCTCCGAGCTGGGCATTGGAATAACATCAGTATTGGCTCTTCTGTTGCATTCACAGTGCCTGTGGGCTGTGATTGCAAAATCACCTAATGCTTCCTGGCATGGCCACATCCCAAAAGCAACTAAGGACAATCGCTCCAGCTGTGAAGATCAGGACGTCTAACTGGTCGGCGTGGTGGCATCCACAGTGTTCACACAATTATGCGCTTCTTGAACGCTCTGTGCAGTCTCCTTGCTGGGCCGTTGCATGTGCAAACCCGCTTCTTGATGTGCCCACTGCAGCACATGCGCGGGATGATGCTCTGATATTTCGCAGCCCAGCACATATTGCTAGTCACAGCCTTTGCCTGATGAGACAGGAGTGACCATCCAGAGTCGGAGCGCAGCAGGGCACCTCTGGCAGTACTGGCCCCGAGCCTCGGCCAGACTCGTAGGTCCCATCGGAGTTCATTGTATCTGTTGAAGCGTACCAGCTACGTCCAGCAGCACAACCCGAAGCCTTTGATTCTGGCGATAGCATCCTGCAGCCAAGGCTCACTGCCAGGGCGATGAGACGAGTCCAGAGAATTGACTCTGATCTTACTATTGCATGTGCCGAAGAAAACAGGTTGAGCAAGAGCTGATTGCAGCAAAAAGGGCGAGACTCTCGCCTGCGGCATCCTCCCCCGCTTTGGTCAGGCAGCATTGCTGAACGGGCAGAGCGAGCGGATTGTGCTCATGGGTGGCTCGACTAAAGCTGTAAGACACATCGTTGCAGTTTCTGTGACACCGAAGCTTCGGCCGCAGCCCACCCCACTGAGGCATGTCTCAAGGTGGTGGACAGTCCATGCTGCGGCCCGCCATCCGTCCAGAGTCCGTTTTCACCAGCTTGGGCTTCATTATCCTGAAACCTCACTCATAGGAAGACGTGCGGCCGGTCGTTGAAAGCGTTCAAGCTGGCCCTTGGTGTGCTTCTGGTGCAGGTTCCTTCGCTCACGGATTCGCTTGGGCGGGTGGGTTGGCTCTGTGTGCCACGTGCCCACAGCGCCACACACACCCCGGGACCGTGCCCGGGCTTGAGAGATAATTGTAGGTGATACAATCCATCGAGACTTCGGGTTTGCATTACAATATTTTCCCAGATACACTGACCGGGAGTATGCAGATCGCGGGGCGCAGGCTATCCTGCTCCTCGCACGGCTTTGCTAGGGGGCGTCCGAATGACGAAGACCTCCAGGTGATCCGTTGCTGGCCATCGCTCGACCCACGGCTTCGCAGCTGCACACAGCATAAACCCTCACTTGCGCTTCGAGAGTTTGCCCTCCTGGACCGACGTCGAAGCGTTGTTAAACAGCGTGGGCTGCAGGGTGCCGCGGCAAGAGCATGAATCGTCCTACTTGTAGCACGAAGCCAAGGTGAACAGATCGAGACCAGTGCGGCTGCTGGCTGGAGAGGCGGGCGCTGCAAAAGCGTCATATGTCCGAGCTCATCGAGCCTTGTGCAGGCAGATTGTGTTTTTGCACCTGCCTTGGTGTGTGGGCCTGAGCGCGAGTTGAGCTCGGGCAGTATGCAGCAGCAGATGGCAGCAGCATGTGCGACTACATCGGAGATATCGTGTCACCTTAATACCTTCAGACAGCCAAATCTGGCCTTATCTGAAGCCGTCAGCCACAAGCTCGCCTAAGACGGGCGAGTGGCAGGCATGCGAAAGCTCTTATCACGTGTTTGCCTTGAGCTGAAGAACAGAACAGCTCGCACCACAAGCAGCAGAACACAGGCCATGCAATGTTCAAGCCAACCCGAGAGATGTGACGGCCTCCAACCTGAGTCTTTCAAGACGTCGGTTCCTCCACTCGACCAATGAGATGTCTTCGGCCTTGTCCTGGTAGCGACTGAAACCTGTGGGCGACAGCCCACCTCGGCTATCGCCATGGGCTGCATCAGCTGCATCATGCGCCGCCGAGCCAAGAAGGTGCCGATACCTCGCCGATGCTTGCTCTGTGCATTAATGCACAGGGGTCACTTGAAAGTTTGCTGTGGTATGCTGTAGTCATGTCCTTGATCATTGCCTGTCGCGAGTGTCTGATCAACTTCGGGCTGAAGCACTGGTCGCCTAACTTTGGTTCTAGAATCTGAGTTGTGCTGGCTCAACTGGGGTTTGCAAGTCTTGCAGTGAGGTATAGTGTGATGAAACTGGGGGTGAGCCTTGCCTTGGCATGCCAGGACGACAAGGAGAGCAGGCAAGGCAGTGGACTCCAGCTCAGCATGACACATCTTGGGGCACTGTAGTCAAAGAGGCACTCTAGAATGAAAGATGAAAGATAGCAGTGGTGTACCATGCGCCTTGTCTGGCTTTGCTCTGGCAGGACGCCCACCGTGTCGGAGCGCTGGGCTGCAAGGGGCAGGGTGCGTTGCACTGTTCAGAATGGCTCATCATGCAATGATCACCCTGAGTTGGAGGGAGCCAGCACAGCCTGCAGTCACAGAGATGTATGGAGATCATAGTTTGCCGGAAACTCTAACCCCTCTCTCTTCCGTCAGTTCAGCCTCCGATGCTGCCAGAGATCCCTTTGTGTGTGCGAAGGAGCTCGAGCACCTGCTTCGCGATCACGACATGGAGGCTCGTGTGAGCAGCTGCCTGATCGTGGCCAGTAGCACTACAGATGCACTCCGCAGAACAAGTAGGTCAACAGTCATGATCATCCACGTGAGGGCTTGATAAATTGAGAAAATTCCAGTGCTGGAATGTCGATATCGGACGTCGAGGATCTGAGTGTACTGGTACCCGTTTTGTACTGTACCCCGTCAGTTGCTTGTTTTCAGGCGGCGTCTGTGCTAATTACAATCCATGGAAGTAAGTGCAACCCAGCAGCCTTTGAACATAGTAAGCTGCCCCAAACCTCGCCCATTTTTGCGTCGAGTGCGAGCAAAAAGTACAACCCAGGAAGCAAGCAGTGCCTGTGGCTCGGAATCCCACATCGCATGGTAGTCTTTCTGGAAGGGATCGATCGAACTGTGCCGAATAATTGTTTCATGAACCCGCCCGTGCGGATTTGCATTATGGTTGCCGAGCGCTGCTTGGGCTGCCAGGTGGGCAGAAGACAAAAGAAGTCCGTCCTCGTGGAGGCTGAGAGACGCATTCTAACGACCCGCACAGGAACACTTTCATCTCGCAACATCGGCAAGCCTTGGGCCGAGCTGCAACTCACAGCTGCTTTCAGGCAGCTCACAAGATCTTGGCGAGTTCCGGAAACAACGATGTGCAGCGGATCATCGTGCTAAAGCTGCACTGGGATAAGGATTTGTGAGATGAGCTTGTCATGATGGTGCCAAGTAGCAGCATGCAGCGCTAATCCTCGTGCTCATTCCTGCATTTCCTTGATCCCTGTGTGGGACGCCCCGGAGCTTTGTAGCCGCCGAATCTATGGCCCTGCCACGCTGGCGGATCGCATGCGTCACACTTAAGATTGCATGCCGGACAGCAGGGGCTGATCAAGAGCTAGCTCTGACTGGCCACATGCTTTGTGCTGAGGACAAAATCGCGAATGGAGAGGACTTCGACTTTGGGCGGCACAAGGGAAGATGTGGGGCGAGTCGGGAAGCACTTTTCTTGACAAGCTCCACATCAGAAGCAATCAGACACGTATGCCGCTCCTGAGCAGTCTAGAGTTTTGCATCGCTGGCTCCCCCTTGCGTTTACACCCAGGTGTTCAATCACTGGCGATGTCTCGAGACTCCAGACCGGGCGTTCTTAGCCTGCAGTCAGCTTGCGGTAGGCATGGCACATCTAGTTCGCGTTGCTCCCAGACATCAGCCGCCCGAAATCTATGTCCCGCTTTGATGCCCTGCCTTATTGATCCCGACATCGGGTAACGAGTGGGAGCTCGCAGCGATAAGCTGGAGAAAGCTTTTATTGCTCGGGAGAAGTGAGATCAACACATGTTTAATGAACCGTTTGCCATTGTTTGCAATGCCTTGAGCTCTGGCATCAGAAGTGCATCGTACAGGCGTGTGAGCTTTGAGAACATGCTGACCGGATGCCGCAGGTACTACACCCTGGGCCCATTCGCTCAGCTAGAGCTGGAGATGGTAGAGGCGCGACGGCTTATCCCTGCCGTGTCAGGCATCATTCAGTCGCTTGGCTCGCCGTCAGTTTTGCTGATTGGAGTTCGGACAGGGTTTGAGTGAGCGAGTGAGTGGACGGAAGACGACGGACAAGGCCTGCTTTGTGGTCCCTGCACCGTCTAGGAAACACTTCGGAGACGAGCCGGATGCCTTCGTTCGTGTCTATGTCGGAAGCTCAGTTCTACGGAGTTGGGCAGCTTTGATGTCCAGGTGTGGAGGTGGCTGGTCATGCTCATGTCATTACTTGTACCGATGATGAGCGAGATCGTGTCATGTCAACCACCCGGAACGGCTGGCAGTCAGAGAGGCTTCACCAACTTGCAGCGTCTCGAAACGGCTTTTCATTGGGGAGCTGCGTGTAGGAGCATCAAGGGGAATCACCACGCCCAGATTTGCCTGCAGGTAGATGACTGTCTCCACTACGCCGGACGCTGCATCTACAATAACCGCCGACCGAAGTGGGAGGACACTTCGCACATCG